TTCCTGAGCAGAGCTTCAAGTATATGACACTCTAGAAGTTTCCAACACACACATTGTAAAGAGAACAATTTGTTGTCTGAACTAAGTGCTTAAAAGGGTTATTGCAGGCCTCACAACACCTTCCATTTGGATCTTTAAGTAAATAGCTTAATTTTTTAATGAGTGCAATATTTTTAGTTTTGTTTGGTAGTATTTGCATTACCAGTCAAAAACAAGTAGGATATTAACTTTTTTGTCCTTGTATTAACACTTATCTCAAAAAATAAAAATAGGAGATAATTGGTTGATTAAACCTGCATAGTCTGATCGATTTACTATATGAATATTGTGCTATGTATGCCACGATTCATGCCATTTTAAAGAAGCAACTTCATCTTGATTTTTATTTTTATTTTTTCTAAAAAATGTAAAGAAAGAGAATGCAACCATCCTCTTTTTTAGAAGGTGTAAACAGGATTAGAACAAATACCTTGCCTGTCAGTTTAGTAGAAAGAGTTGTTTAACATGAACTGTTGGGTTGTAAAACATTAACCAATTTAGCAAACAGGTGAAACTTTCCTAATACCTGTATGGTGTAACCATTCACTCTGAGCTCAAACAACATTTTTTATGCTACAGCTTGTAGAGTCAATATTAAAGAAGCTTGTTGATGAGTTTGAGCATTGCATGGCAAGCCAAAGTGAAGATGTAAGTTTTTTTTTTCATCCTCTCTGTATCAGGGATGCTTGTTTATGTCTCTCCTCTTGCACAAATATGTTGTAGTACAACTTTTCCATCCTTGTATTACAACCTGTTTGGAACCTTTTCGAATCTATATGCCATGTACTCCATATTTATTATTATTATTATTACGGAGTATTATTATTATTATTATTATTATTATTATTATTATTATTATTATTATTATTATTATTATTATTATTATGCTATAATGGAGTCTGGGTAGCTGCTCAACTTCTTGAGTTGATAATCTGACATGTACTTGACATATATCCAGCAAAACAGAGTAACTGTCAATGACTCAGCTGTTTCTCTTGGTAATAAGCCAACTTCCAGACATAACTTCAGGAGCACAAAGGTAACTACTGTATTTGCAAGCCTGAGTTTAAGATAATATTTGTTCTTTATTGTGTGAAAGAATGTGTGATTTTATTCTACTTTTGAATTAAGGTGGAAGACACTAACATGTCAATGGTGAAAAAGGAGGATTTCCATAAGAACAATCATATCCTCCGTGAAGAACTTAAAAAGAGGTTCACAAATCAGCAAAACATTGTTGATCAACAGCAAAGAGATATTAAGGTGAGACATAAAAACTGGTTCGAGGTGATTGCCTTCTTTATTGAACCCCACTCCAACACACACACACCAAAAAAAACTGCAAATTTGGTGAAATTACTATTGGTTGAACTTTACCTGCAGGATCTGAAACAAACTCTGTGTACTACAAAAGCGGGCATACAGTTCATGCAGAACAAGTTTCATGAGGAAATCCAGAATATTGGTAGGTACTTAGGTAGTAAGTGTGTCTCATACCATGTAATTTGGATGCTATGTTACATTTTAAATGCCTATTTTGGGTTTCTTCCTCTCTAGGATTCCTAGAGTTGAGTCAGTTTTCCATTTAATAACATCCCTGCTTTATAGGTCAACACATTCATGGGCTAGCGCATGCAGCTTCAGGCTATCATAGAGTTCTTGAAGAAAACCGCAAGCTTTACAATCAAGTCCAGGACCTTAAAGGTACTGTTCTTGTATTCACGAAACTCTTATCACCCATGTATTTTTTTTCCCAGTATTGAAATGAAAAGTATACACTTTATCTTCAACCAGGAAGCATTAGGGTTTATTGTAGAGTAAGACCTTTCTTGCATGGACAATCCAGTCATTTGAGTATCATAGATGGCATTGAAGAAGGTGTGATTACAATTCGCACACCATCAAAGCATGGGAAAGGAAGTCGGTCCTTCAATTTCAACAAAGTATTTGGGCCATCTGCCACTCAAGGTTGGTTAGCATTTTTTAGGAGGCTTTATGATTTTAATACTATATCTATCATTAGCCAGCTGTGCATCTTATATCATATGTTTTCTTTTTTTTTTAGGGGAGGTTTTTGCAGACACACAGCCACTAATCAGATCAGTCCTTGATGGATACAATGTTTGTATTTTTGCTTATGGTCAAACAGGGTCAGGGAAAACTTATACCATGGTTAGATGTGGAAAACTTTTGCAAGTGTATTATTAGTATTATATTTTTTTTTGTCTCTGTGTGAGCCAAGAAAAATTTTCAACTTATCATCTTTTTGTTTTCAGAGTGGACCTAAAAATCTCACTGAGCAAACTCAGGGGGTAAATTACAGGGCCTTAGGTGATTTATTTCTACTGGCAGAGCAAAGAAAGGATACCTTCCACTATGATGTGTCTGTTCAGATGATGGAAATATATAATGAACAAGTTCGAGACCTCCTTGTTTCTGAGGGTCTAAACAAAAGATATCCTCCATGAAAGTTATGAAATTTGCATTTTATTAGATTTTGGTATTTGAAGATGCCTTATTTCATAGTATGAATACTGTACTGAAGATGCTCCTATTGAGAGCCACCCTTGTGCAAAAAACAGTAAATGGTATAATCACAGGCTTAGGCCTTTAAGCCTTAAGGCATGCAGTTTGCTTAAACTATGTCTTTTCTATGTTATTCCTTAATCAATTTATTACACTAGAAATCCGCAGTTGCTCTCAAGGACTTGCTGTGCCAGATGCAAGTGTGGTCCGTGTAACTTCAACTTCAGATGTTATAGACCTGATGAACTTAGGGCAAAGGAATCGTGCAGTAGGGGCAACAGCCCTCAATGACCGCAGTAGCCGGTCTCATAGGTGATGAATGGAAGACTTTCTCTACCTCTTTCAGAGTTTGTTTTAAAAATCTTTTATTGGTAATGCTAATTTTTATCAGTTTTTGCATTGTGCAGTTGCTTAACAGTTCACATACAAGGAAAAGACCTCACTACCGGAGTTATTCTCCGTGGTTGTATGCATTTGGTTGATCTCGCTGGAAGTGAGAGGGTAGATAAATCTGAAGTAACAGGAGATAGACTCAAGGAGGCACAACATATAAACAAATCTCTTTCGGCTCTTGGTGATGTGATCTCTGCCCTTGCCCAAAAGAATGCACATGTTCCTTACAGGAACAGCAAACTTACACAACTTCTCCAAGACTCCCTTGGTAAGGATATATAGACAATAGCAAATGATTAAGCTTTTCTAATAGTTTTTCCTCTGCTTATTCCTTCACTTTGGTTTGTCTTATGCTATATTAGGAGGTCAGGCCAAAACATTGATGTTTGTCCACATAAGCCCCGAACCGGATGCCTTAGGGGAAACGATTAGTACATTAAAATTTGCAGAGCGAGTTGCGACAGTGGAACTTGGTGCTGCAAGAGTAAACAAGGATTCTGCAGATGTGAAAGAGCTTAAAGAACAGGTAATAGATTTTCTTCATTCTTCTTTTATATGTTCAAATTAAAAGGTTCATAGTTTGCTATTTAATTTTGGCTTATGGAAAAATTGCATTGCTTTTCTCAGATAGCTTCTCTGAAGGCTGCCTTGGCAAAAAAAGAATTGGAACCAGACTCCATACACCAAAAGACCCCTGATACTCCATGTAACATGCAACTGCCATCTTTCCAATCTAATATCCAAGGGAAAGATATGCTGATGGGTTCAAAGAATCAGAGGAAACCAATGGAGGAAGTAGGAAACATAGAGGTAAAATACCAGCTATTAGCCTTCCACCACTTGGACAAATGTGGATAGAACTACAATATTTCTTGTTGAATATGATTGTTTCCATTCTCATCATCTTAATGACCTTTAATGGTTGCAGGAGAACAACTCTGCATTAAGGCAAAAGATACAAAGCTTTGACCTTGATGAAGTATATGGAAATTCTCCTCTCTGGCCACCAGTCAGCAGTCCTGGAGAAAACTATATTCTGGATGATAGGGATGTTTCCTCCGGTGAGTGGGTAGACAAGGTCATGGTCAACAAACAAGAACCTGTAGGGGGAGTTGAAAACCCCTTTGGTTGTTGGGAAGTCGAAAATAGCAATATGCCAGACATTCTCTACCAGAAATATCTTTCAGATTCGACCAAGCCGTTCCCCACAACCAATCAGTTTGACATTACTGCAGCTGATGAATTGGATGAGCTTGATGCCGCAACAAGTGATTCATCTGATCCAGATTTGCTTTGGCAACTCAATCACTCAAAACTTAGCAGTTTCACCAATGGTGTCGGGTCAAAGATCCCAAAACCAAACACAAAACCAGCAAAGAGTCCAGAACTTAGGACCCTGGCTCATAAAACAGGCCCTTCACAATCAAGAAAGACAAATGGGACAGGCCAATATCCTCAGCGCAGCGGAAGACAGGCCATTCCAGTTGAAATAAAACGCAAAACTGGGAACAGAAAGTAGCAAAAGCCTTGTGATTGTGAGAAATGATATTTTCTAATTCTTTCTATTTGTTCCCATTCTTTTTTTGGGGGAGCTTTGAGTGACAGGGAAGTATAATGTGTAAAGTTTAGTCATTTTTTCCATTTTGGTTTGCATTTTTTGCCCGGGTTAATGCAGAAATAATCCCAGTTCTTGTAAGTTGTAACAGCTCTCTGGAGCTTCTATTGCCTGAGTGAAGTTGTTGACATGTAATTAATTTTACACAATATAAACATGTTGGGGTTATGTCAAATGAAAATATTTACAGTGCCATATAGAATGTTTATTTACAAAGATTTGCCTCAATAGCTAGACAAAGACTACAACTTTATGTAAAGTGCAGTGCTGGGAGTTGAGAATGATGGCAGAATTTAAGGAAAATGATGATAGCAATCATGGAAAACCTTTTTTTTAAGGATATAAGCTTTAGTGTCTGAGATATATAAGTGTGACAGGCTGTTTGAACATGAATATCAGTTAACTATTGACACAACAAATATCATGATGATAATTGAATGGCTAGAACTTTTTATTGCAAGAACAACTTTCAGCACAATCTAACACCAAACAATCATGAGCGGTTTCCATATCCACATTTACAAATGTAAGATGGGAGTAGAAAGTAAAAATGAAAAATGAACAGCCAAAGGAACAACGTATATGTGAATGTACTGCACTACCAAAACTTTTCTTACACATGATGAAATAGGAACCAATGCTGTACAGAAAATAATAATAATAATGTAATGCCACTTTGAAGAATATACCTGCCTGAGCTCGATCTTGACTTGCAATTCTAGCTCGCATCTTATTGGAAGATTATACACCGGCAAAGAATAGGTCTCTCGTTGTAGAGATTCAATGCATTGAATAAGTTCTATGCAGAGGGATTATAAGATTGCAACTTGATTATAAGATTGTAGCAGGGAGAAACAAGCTGAAGTAGATATACTGGAAACCGGGTTCTGAAGCTCGGGGCATGGTTCGGGTGACACGTTTGAGGAAAGACCCGAAACGTCAGAGCATATCCACGGGGTTGAATGGTCGGGCGAGATGGAAAAGGAGATATCTGAAAGGCATATGGAAGTGAAGGGCGATTCAGGTAATCCCTTGAAATTTCCGGCTATGGAGATATTCGTGCCAATAATGTCCTTGAAGGTGATATTACCGACCGCTGGAAGTGCATTAGGATCAAACTCGTCATCTGGATGCGTGTCATAGTAACTCGTAGCATTGATTCCCACCCGAACATTTTCCATCACTACCCCCGAGAATAGAATGTCCTCGATATAACCGCCCCGTCCTCTAGCTGTCTTCAGCTCAATTCCCACGAGGGAATCATGCAAGTAAAGATTCTCCACAAGTACATTCGAGAGCCCACCGGACATCTCACTACCAAACGCAATGCCCGCTCCATTGGTAGACTGCAAATGCATCCCTCGAACGTGCACATTCGTGGTAGGTCTCCCATAGGCAATCCCGTACTCATCCCAACCACTCTTGAGCGCAATAGCGTCGTGACCCATGCTAATGTTGCTATTCTCGATGCATACATGCTCGGAAGAATCTACAATAGGGAACAAATACTAAGGGTATAAAACAAAACACAAATCTTAAAACATACTAACAACAATTATCCTTAATACGGGTCATGGGAAGAAAAGAAGAATATGATAATAACCCAAAGCACTAAAACAAACCTGGAACAATGCCACTAGTGTACGGTGATGAGGACGGAGAACGAACAGTTATGTTCTGAACAACCACATTACTGCATAACATTAAACAATTCTGAGATATCCACCAGATATCAATCATAGAGAGAGTCGATGAATTTTAACTAGAGGGACGCCCCTAAAAAGTACCTGCAATATGCTGGGTGAATGCTCCAAGCAGGGGCATTCAAAATCGTCAAGTTTGAAATAACGACTTCACTAGAACTAACAAATTCAATTAGATGAGGTCGACTGTAATTCAATGCATGGGCATCGAATTGTTCCCACCAGACAGAACCCTGGCCATCAATAGTTCCATTATTGCCTGCAAAATGTCTTGACATAAGTGTGGAGCAAACTAAATGTATAAACCGTAATGCAGAAGTACTTAAGGTGAACATTTCTTGCCTGTTATTGCAACATCAACTAAATTATTTCCCGTGATCAAGCTGCGATATCTTTGACCTGGCACATCAATACCTCGCCCATAAGATGGTAAGGGATCAACTACATCCCAATGAGTGTAATCCTACATAGGGACAGAACATGGAAAGTAAGATAACTATATTGGTTGTATCTCTAAGGGGTTGTATCACCACTATCACCATCACTATGAATAAAAAATAGTTTCACTCCCGATGGATGTAGGCACATTGCCGAACTACGTAAATCTTGTCTTCTTTACCTTTTTCTGCCATCATTATTGTTTCTTGTTCTTGTTAATCTCAAGAGTAAATAAAACGATTCTTTTGCTATTATTTTGGATTGACTAGGCAGTGGAGTTTCATCTCAGATAATCATGCAATAGAAATGACATAAATTCCTATTTAACCACTGACCTCGGATCCTAGAATAATGGCATTTTTTTCCAGGAAGAGTGTAAGGTGACTGGTAAGGTTGATGCTACCAGTCAGCCACCTGCCAGCTGGAACATAGAGTTGTGCGCCCCCCTTGTCAGCAAATGACTTAAGATAAAATATCGCATTCTGAAATGCAACAGTATTCGATGTTTTCCCGTCCCCCACAGCACCAAAGTCCAAAACCGATGCTCTGTGAGGCCTGGGTTTCACCGGTTTACTGAGAGTGCATTCTCCCTCGATTTGAGCTTCAGTATGCTCTACACTGTCATTCAAAACCAATAGCAAAAGGAGAACTACCTGAAAAGAAGGGCAGGCAAAGAACAACATTTAACTTTTGAAATCTTTGATGAATATAGAAAAAAGTTATCACTAGACCAACAAATTTCAAATTACCGATTCAATAATAAACTCCCAAGCTTAGAACCAACAAGAAAATATAACAATCATATAATCAAAACAACTGCAAATGCTATGTTTATCATTAAATGCAATCTAGAGTCTAGACCCAGCACAAAGAAATTGAATGTAATTATTTACAAATGAACTGGCAATGGCTATGAAATCATACAAGAGTATGAAAGACACTGGAAAAAGAAGCAAGTCGAATAACCAATGAGAATCTAACTGCTGCAGATTTAAAAGAAAAGATTCAAAGAAATCAAGTTGAAAAATAGAGTGAATGCAATGAAGAAACCACATCAAACTGGCAACCAGTCTCACCCAAGGAAGGCAAAACTGATCTAAAATCCCCATTTGGCCAAACTTTAGATTGGATTGGTGGAGAAAACAAAAAGACAGAATCTTTAATCTGTAAAAGCACAAACTACCGAGTCTAGTATTTAATGCAGTCACAGCAAAAATGAATGAGAATAGATCAGCTGAATCTCAAAAGAAAACCTCAACAAAGTACCTCAATTTGGAGCCTTTCCACACAAATAATCATATTTAACAGTAGTAACGTTAAGCACTAAAGTCATAGTATGATTGGATCAGACAAATGAGAGTTCCAGGTATCTAGAGCACAGCAAAAAAACAGCAAGAAACTACTGCAAGTCGGTACTAGAAGAATCACAAAAGACAACATACTTACTAGCCCCTTCATGGGTTTCCTGTCTTTCTCCCGCATTGTGGTTAGAGTGAAAAGGCAGGACCACAAGTCCACCACACCACCCACCCTCTGATAGGCTTGAGCAGAGTGAAGAAGACGCAGAGAGGCGTATGGCAGTGAAGTGTGAATATGGTGGAAGACGAGTAGATGATGAGTGGCAATTAAGGAGAAAAATAAAAGAAATTATATTAGGAAAATAAAACGGATGGTAAGCGAAAGGGACAGCGAAGAATGAGAAAGAGACAGCTCTTCATCTACACATAAAAATGAAATCTTTTCGTATTTAAACCATTTCCTGCTTATATAAGCATGCCACAATATAATAATATAATATATATGCAAAACTGCTACCGTAATTATTAATTTAATATCACAATAATTAGCCATTAATCACTCTGCTAATGTTGTTAATTTGCAACGGGACATTGCCGACACTCCATTAGCACCGGAGCAAACGGCAGTCCCCTCAACGTGAGAGAGCCGGAGACCGTGTAAGCACGACTACTTGACTATTCTAGTATTGTCATCATCTACATAATTAATTAAATAATAATAATTGTGGGAGTGTGGAGCAACCTCTCAAAGTGAGGGGTGTCTTGTGCGCAGTAAGCAAACGTTTAGTCTTTATGATTAGACTGAGTTACTATGATTTACATTCTCCCAGATGCTCTGTTTGGGCCGGGTGTGGAGGCATGAGTTGGGAATTCAACATTTTGGAAAGAATTAAATATTAAATAATAATAATAATAGCATATTTAGAATTTTTTATTACTATATATAATTTTTTAGAGTATTTTATATTTAAAAAAAAATAAATTAAGAGATATGCTCGTGTCATATCGTAACATTTGATTCTTCTTTTTTTTTTTTTGAAAGCCAACGAGAATATATTTAATCAAAGGCATAGCCAAATCCGAAATATAAAGAGGTGGAACAACGTCCCAAACCCCAATGACAGAAGAAGAACCAGTCGTCCGTGCTAATACGTGAGCTACATGACTCGCTGACTTCGTGACATGACGGACGGTAACGTCCCCGATGTCTCTAGCAATAGATAAACATTGCTTAACAATAGATCCAACATAAGAAAAGTCATTACACAAGGAATTGAAACTAATGTAAAAATTTAAACAGTCTGATTCCACGATGATTTGATGCCCACCTGAGGTCCAATGTGGTCAGGACCCCTATCTAGCTGAAGCAATGACGGTCAAAGAGGCGCTTACATTTGATTCTTAATAGTGTTATTATAATTGACATTTTTAAATTGTTAACTTATTCAAACACCAGTTTAATGGTAAAGATGTTGTTAAGGTTGTACACCAGTTTAATGGTAAAGATGTTGTTAAGGTTGTACATGAGATTGAAAATGACCATGTTTGGTAAATATATGTTAGCTGTTAGTTGATTGGGTTAATTAGAGGATATAATTAGTTTATAACATTAGCTGATTGTAGAAATAGGTTTGGTAAATTAACTGTTAGCTAATAGTTGTTTGGTATAATTTATTTTCTAAAAAAGTTAATTGAAAAATTACTTTGAGCAATTTTTTAAATTTTAGCATTTTGAAGTTACAGAAAACTAATTAACCAAATACTTATATTAATTTCTTAACAAAGTCAATCAATTAATAGTGGTCAAATAAGTCAAAATTAACTGATACACTAACTATTTTACCAAACAAGACCAATATATTTTGATTAAGACAAGCAAAGGATTGTAATAATGATCTCTAATAGTATTGGAATAAGATAAACATTTTTTTTTGTGTGTGTTTAAAACTCTAAAATAATTACAAATGGGTGAAAATTGCAATAAGTGACTACCTCTGTTCAAAATTGGTTATCACATTTGTTTTTACATGCTTTTTAAAGAATTAAAGTAAATGATATGTGTTTTTCAATTATATTCTTCACTTTTTTCGCTTTTATAAATAAAAGTAAAAACTAAAAAGAAAACAAAACTAATAAGACTACATTTAGAAAAGTAGAATGATGGTGATGTTTAATTTTGAAAAGAAAATAACTTTCTGGAATAAGTTTTTTTTAAAAAAAAAAAAAAAAAGAGAAAAGGTCAAATGGCCAAATGGGACTGATGGAGTATATAACTATATACAACGCTAATATATACACTTTAAAAATACAAGTAAGGATGTTTTAAGTTGCTTATTAGTCCTTTCAAAAAAAAAAAAAAAAGGTTGCTTAAAAGTAATTGATTGATTTGATAAGCGAAAAAATGGAACTAAAAATTGGGATGGTGAGTGTACGTGAGCGCGTGAGCAGGGAGAGCGTGGCATGTGTTTTGGGCTGGGGCTATGGCCCACAACCAATGATGGGTGGGAGATGCTAGCCTGGCACCACCCAACTGCCAGATCATATGCCTGCACTTATTAAATTAATCTTTTATCTTTGACACTTGAAACAATTTTGTAAAATATTATAAATTTTTTATATACTCACTATTCTTTACAAAGTAGTATATATTATATTCTATAAACAACATTTTTAGTCTAAAGAATTAAGCCCTACCATTGGGGTTCAAATCTATGACCATCCATTTGAAATGGTAACAGAGATGCCATCACACTACATGATAGTTGAAAATTTTTTATATATTCGTTTAGAAATTTCTTTAATGTTAATTGATACCGATATATTTTGCACCAATACAATATTTATGTTCTTAAAATTGTACCAGATATTTTTGTCAATTTTAATATTTGATATAACAATAATATTAATTTTTAACAACATACACAGTTGTATTTAGTAGAGAAACGTAGATTGATATACATGTGCTGTGACAAGTGTTAGTGGTGTGAATGAAAGAGAAATTATTATTATTTTAAAATGATGTTAGATATGAGAAAGGGGCCCAGCAAAAATGAAGATTAGTACACGAAATAGGCAACAAGCATGAGGAAACAGCACTTTATGAGTGTTATCTTTACTGGGTAAAATGTTGCATGGCTGTGGTCCTTTGTTGTCTTCTGGCACTCCACTCTGTCTCTGTATGACGATTCCAACATTATTCTACTTCTCACACTGCCTTTACACTTAATCATTCTCCCTCCCTCACTCTAAATTTTCCCCTTTCTCTCATTCATTGCATGCCACCCCATACTATTCCTCTCATTAAATAACAGATTCTATTGTTTTTTTTTTTTTTTTTAATGAGGAAAATCTCAGTTACTATTAAGAGTGTGTACGGAATAAACTTATTTTGTGACCCAACAAATCAGTCTAAATTGTTCATAGTTAATCAGTTCATATAAAAAATTAATAGGTTGCTGTTACTAAGAGTCGACCTTTGAATAATTATCAAACTAAGAGCATCTCCATCTATGAATTTTGGATGGTTTTTGAGAAAACACGTATAGATGACGTGGATGAGGAAGGGGGGGGGGGGGGAGAGAGAGAGAGAGAGAGAGAGAGAGAGAGAATAAATGGGTTTCTTGCAGTAGGAGTGGTTTTTGGTTTGAAAATGTGGAGTCCGCGTGGAGAAGAAGGGGCACTCGAGTCACGCATTCAGCACAACTTGCGCGCCCAGCACGACAGGCGCTCGTAAAATCTGTTGTCTTTTTGTTGGCAGACTTGCTTTTTTGTTTCCCTTTTTTCTCTTCCCTTTCATATTCTCTTTCTTAGACAGATATGAAAAAACTCTTAAAAAATCACAACTGTTAGAGATGTTCTAATAGTCCATCCAACGAACTTAGATATAGTTGTTCGAAATAACAACTTATATTATTTTTTAAGACATATATGTTATAAATATTATTATTATGGCCATTATCACAAGACCTTTCATTTGCCTTATATTTATTCCATTATTTATGTTATAGAAAATGAAGGGTTATATGGATGTATATATATACATGTTCAAGGCATAATGAAAGAGAGAACTTGTGTTCTTGAGTTCTACATTCTTGTGTTATATTTTTCTCTCTACTCCTCCATTCCATATTGCAATATTCTTCATATATACAATCGATGCGTTACCGTACAACTATCACGCGAGAACTAACAAGTTGATAGGCTGAATTACAACACGTTATCAGCACGAATCGCCAACATATTCCTCGGTGAACGGTATGCTCGGACATGTTATAATACATGTTTTTATACTAGGCAAGCATGTTCATAGGTTTCATATAATACATGTTTTTATATGGCACATGTTGATTCTACACCTCTTGATATGATTATGAAATACATGATTGATATGATACATATTGATTCTAAAATTTGAAATATGAATTGCACATACCGGTTCATATATATATGATTGAGTAAATTCCTGAATATATATTTCCAATTTTATTTTTAATTCTTAAAATTGAAAGAAAAACATGTGATATATATGTTTGTGTAAATAGATGGGGCTTTTCGTATGAAGATGCAATGTATGTATACATATTATTTTCATTTCGCATACTTTGTATGTTATATACCCTATGATGTAGTGCATTATTATGTTTTTATGATATGTCGTTTGCATGTGATTAGCAATTAGTTTTTGTGCCGATTAGGCAATGAATGAATGGTTTTTAATTAAGATTGTTAAAGTTTATTTTGTGGAAGCTTAAGAGTGAGTAAGACTTTAAAGCTTAATTGATGACTTGGGAGCATCAATTCGGTGTATTGGAGAATGAAACACCACTCGTTGCCTGTAGCGCGAGTTGATGCTATAAACACGAGTCGATGCTTGCTGCATCAATTCGGTGTTTTCGCACCGATTCGTGCCTTGTTGCTTGTAGCACGAGTTGATGGTATAAACACGAGCCGATGCTTGTTGCTTCAATTTGGTGTTTGCCTCACCAATTCGTATTGCACCATTTCGGTTTTTGTGTATATTCGAAAGATCAATTTGTTTTCTGATTTTATCTTTTGACTTCATCTCGGAAAGTTCATTTTGCATCTAGACGATGTTAGACTCCTTATTTTGCTATAAACATGTGATATTATGAATGTATATGAGAACATATGATATATGTTTTGTAGATTACGTATTCAATTGTCAAATGTGATTTTATTGAGCTCGCTCATGTCGATAGCAATTATTTCATTTGGGTTTTGGATATTGAAATATATTTGCCTTCTAAGAAATCGAGCCAAAATTTTGTTGCTAAGTCACAGAGCACTGATGCCCAGAAAGCACAAGCTCTCATTTTCATACGTCACTACTTGAACTACGATCTTAAAAATTAGTATTTGATTGAAAAAGTCCCTATTGCGTTATGTAAGTCCCTGAAGAACCATTTTGACTA